TATGATTTTTTAACAATGTTATGTCTGGAAAATGAAATGGCATGTCTGGTCATCTCTCGAAGTAAGATGACAACACTTGATCATTCTAGACAGTCTTGTGAATTATGTTGCTAGTGTGGACTTATAACCCACAAATGTAGATGAAATGGATATAATATTCATTAAATACTCTGATGGCATAAATTGCATTTATGACTTAATTGGCCAAGGAAACCCCTAGTTGCGTAGTCAAACCATTGCTCCAAACGATTCATTAGACGAGTTGATTCTTCATGATAATCATGGACTAGGAATTGTGAGAATCAGTTGCGATGGGTATGTATGGGTGTACTGTTTTATAGATATCTAAGTTAAGGGATATATTTATATTGTACGATAACAATTGGTTTTGCAGGTTTAATAATTATAAAAATTATTATTATAATAATATTGTGGGATTGAAAACCCTATGTGTCTCACCAGGTTTTCCAACTTCACCCATTCAAATTATATACATCACATGTAACATGGTTAAAGCTGCTGGAACTTAATTAATATGTCGAGTGATTAAGAGACAACATAAAATAGTGCTCATGACCGTTAGGTCTTTACTCAAAGATTTTTTTTAACAAACCGAAACAGTTTCCGCAAAATATTTTATTGTACTAATATTTTTTTGCAAACAAAGATATTATGATTTTTAAAGCGTAAAGAAAAGTTTTTTTTGTTATGAAAAATAGGGGATTTCACAACAAGTGGAATATAGGAATGGAAGTGACTGTAAGACTATGGGTGGATCCTAGCATTCACATGGGTTGAAAGAAACCCGTTCGGTGGGGGCCGTTGGGTTGGAATAGACCCGTTCGCTGAAATAGGTCGTTGGGTTGAAACAGACTCATTACTGTTATGTATGGTTATTTTTATGATTAGATGAGAGGGTTGTTAGATCCATGTGGATGTGTAGATTACTTTAGACGTTGTTGTTTGGTTACTCGTTTTGGGGATTTCTCTTGCATTTGTATATAAAGATTTCAGTAAACGAAGGTTGGCCGTGGATCCTATTATCTAGTTTATCGGTAAGAGGAATGAGGTCGAGGTATCTAGAATTGATTCTGTCGGCGAGCGATTGGCCATCATGTTTGTTGTGTGGGATAGCCTGGTATGCCAGGAAGTCAACTATTTTGGAATTCAATTAGAAGTTGTTCACAACCTCATCTTCGGGTCGCATGTTTCTCTTTAAGTATTGGATTGATAATTGTCATTGAAGGTGGCCATCTGTTTAGAGTTTCATTTCAGGGATGCAGTGGATGGAATTCAATTAGAAGTTGTTCGTCCATGAATGGATTTTGCGCATGCTCGTGGAGACCTTATGATTCATAATCACAGACCTTGGTAAAGAAGATGTGACGGCTTATGCAAAAAGGAGTGGGTTTGGAAAACCTAAAAGGGGTTCAAAGCGTGTTTAAGGAGGAATTTGTACGGATAGATTTCAAGGACAAAATCTAATTTAAGTGGGGAAGAGTTGTAACACCTGTTTTTCCCTATTTGATCAGTTGAAGGCTCAAGGATTTTGAAGATAAGGGTTTAGGAAATATCTAGTGCCATAGCGTGGTAGGTGTTTACCATCGTGTGACCACGCCACTTAAATGAGGAACACGCCTGACTGGTCACCAAGGCGTGGTGAACGCCGCAGCCCAAGCCCATGAATTTTAGGTTTTCTCACGTATTTAAAGGCATTAACTCTAGGTTTAGGTCATTCTCTTCAGCCTCCATCCTCCTAATTCAAAACCCTAACCTTCATACATGGTTGTGAGCTTGTTTTCTTAGTTTTGATCTTGTTCTTTTGGCTTTGTGAAGCTTAAGGGAGAATGGGCCCCATATTGGTTCAAGGAAGCAAAGAGCTAGCTTAAATCCATCATCTACTTCAGATTTATGAGTCACTGAGCTATAAATTTGATACCTTGATCCTTATTCTTCTAGATCTAAGTTTGTGCTCATTGTGGACGGTTTTGGTTCCTTTTATGGACGCTCTTGGAGTTGAGTAACTCTAGAGTTTGATATCGCTATTTTATGGTTTTTGGACTTCTATTGATTGAGAAAAGGGACTATGCTTAGGTTCCCTAGAATCCATGTACAAATACATAGCCTTTATAGAGCTTACTGGACTTAAGGTTTAAGATCTTGATTTGCGGTGATGTCTAATTGGATAAAGTTTGAAACTTTATCCATTAAGTGATTAAGAAGAACCATATTTGAAGTTATAAGGCTTGATCTATAAGGATTAAGCTCTTAATGAAGAAAAGTCATTCTGACCGAAACCACGACGTGTCCAAGGAAGGCTCATGACATGTTGGTGTGCTGCAACGCGTCTATTTTGTCCTGACTTGGCCACGACACGGTAAAGGTCTCGCCATGGCACGATGGCCATTAACATACTTGACCATTGAATTTTGTTGACCATTGACTTTTGACCAGTTTGACTTTGGGTCAAACATGAAGGTTTTGGTTCGTAGACCGAGGGTTTGACCTTTATTTGGTGTTAGACGATACGTGGGCCTGATCGGTGGAAAGAGTAGAGAGTGTAGATTTGTTTCTCCGGTTTTGCAATTCAAGTGAGTCTTCTCACTATACCACATGAGACACTGTATATCCTTTGTATGATAGGATACATGTACTATTAGAGTAACTGCCTTCTAGTTGACCAGGATAACTCCTTGTTATGTATGTGCAGTATAGGACACTTGGTGTCATGATATGCTAGAGTGGTAGGGTCTTGCTTGTAGATTGTATGATATTGTTAGGTGTCATGATTGGTTAGTGTAATGATAGTTCTGGTTGGTCATTGAGTAGATACCCTAAGGGTTGTATGCCGTTAAAACTAGATAGGATGAGAACTCTTGGTCTAAAGGCTTATTGCATGGTTCTTGTTTGATTTGTTGCTTTCAGGTGGGATAACGTGTTCAACTATTTATCTGATTCCTGATCACATATTATTATGTATTCATGAGGCGGTCGTCAATATTAACATTGGCCCCAATATGGATATGGTTCTGGCTACAGGTTTGATGATTATATGACGGTTGAGAGCTGGAAGTAGTTAACGGCTTAGAGTTAGTAGTAGTAGTGGCTGAGAGCTAGTGCTTGAGTGTTAGTAGATGATATGTATGCTGATTATGTATGTTGTATCCATGTGGATAGGAGATTTGGTATATGAACGCTAGAGTCGAGGACTTTTCTTGTATGGATTTTATGTATGGTGGAATAAGTGGTATACAGTGTAACTCACTAAGTTTTATGCATACAGTTGTGGAATAAATGTTTTGGAGGTTTGTTCGTGAGAAAACGTCGGACGGGAATGTACATTCACATCGAAGATATTGGTTTCCGCTATTTTGTAATTAAACTTCGTAAATCTTATGATTTTTAAACAAATGAATGTCACTTGATTGTTTTAAGTAAAAGGTTTTAATCGGTTAATCTATTTTAAATGATAAATCTCGTTTGTAATTTGGTATGTACATACTACTACTCTAAATTATTCCCATGAAGGGCTAATTATTAGCTCATGTTAAATCTATAAGACTCAATTAACGCGACAATTCAAACAACCATAGCAAACAAGATCATTCAAAATATCAATTATTTTGTCATAAATCAAACAATTAGGGCATCCACAATGCATTAAACTTTTAAGAGTTTAATGGATTGACACATTATCATTTTACATACTATACAACTCTACATTAATTTTTCTACAATGCATTGAACTCAGAGCATCCACAATGGTGAGTTCAATGGGAGAGTTGAATGAAGTGGCAAGTCCATGTGTCATTCAATGGATGAAACTCAACCATTGTGAGATGCCACCTTGGAATTCAATGGATTTGGAGTTCAATGGCCATTAAACTCTTCAATGGGAAAAAGGAAAGTTTTAATTCTTAAATATTTACTATAAATTACATTTTATAACATTCTATTGAACTGTGTAGAGTTCAATGCATTGTAGAGAAAAAAATATAATAGAGTTGTATGGATTTAGAATGATGATATCGCAATCCATTGAACTATATGGAGTTCAATGCATAGTGGATGCCCTCAATAGAGTTCAATGAAATATATATTTAATAGTAAAAGGTTTCCTTTTTTCCATTGAATAGTTCAATGGTCATTGAACTCGAAATCCATTGAATGCCAACATGACATCCCACAATGGTAGAGTTTAATCCATTAGATGTCAATTTGGCATGCCGCCTCATTCAACTCTCCCATTAAACTATGCAGTGTGGATGCTCTTAGAATGGTCTCTAATGACATCAAACCAGTAGTCGTGCAAAGGGGCATATGTTGTGTAAATATGTTGTGCAAAGGGGCATCATAATTTCATGTATAGCCTTCAACCAACAAAATCAAACTTAGTTTTCATATATCAAATCCAAAAACATGTCCTGATAGCTAATTCAAGCTCAATTGTGCATAATTAATCATATACTTAGCGGCTCCATCAAATATGGGGGGGAGGGGGGAGAAGGTGGGGGTGGTTGAGAAGTGGAATCTAAAATTGGTAGAAGAACCTCTTTCACGCTTTTGTAAAGCATAATCAAAATATAAATTTAAGTTTAAATTAATACACAAAACGTGTCCAAGATACAACGTGAACTATAATCAAACTCAAAATATAAACGCAGAGATCATCTAAATGCAAATGACCTCCTTACCGAAAACTTTCATATAGAAGAAATCATTTAGTGGGTGATCATCATGTTTCAGAAACAACTTTGTAGATAAACGCAGAGTTAGATTTGGTTCTTCCATTTTGGCATCTACAATAGATCGATCCTTTATGATTATTTGTAACCACCAAGCTTTCTTCAATCTCTGTAAGATGCGACCTCGCGATATTGACAATTTAATGCTCAGGACATTTGCCTAGGGTATTGAGTATTGATCCTGTCTGGGATACATCGTTGATAGTTTCATGCATGGAAGCACGAAGTTCAGGATCGTGTAAATAAGGTATGTATTTAGTGTGTTCGAAGTAAGGTTCTAGTACGGATGTGGAAGTCGTTGGCAATGGTTGTCACCGGGAATGTTAATCTGATGCTCTTCCTTCTGATATTCATGTCACTATTGGAATTCAAGTAGATAGAGGCCACAATCATCTTGTCAGCTGCAAGCCAGACGCATCTCGTCGGTGACTGCAATTTGGATAACGACCAAATTCATCTCGTCGGCCATAAGAGATTAATCAAAGCACGAGTGAACTGTCCGTTTTTTCTGGGGGATTAAAAGAGAAGAAGGTTGAATTTGAGGAATAGACGCTCTAATGATTTGAAATCGAGATCCGGAAATAATGGAGAAAATCTAATTATGCCCTTTCTAGTATATGATTCCATGTACAACATGTATAAAATGATTGGTGTACCTCTTAATTTGATATGTCCTATAAAGTTCTAAAGGTTATAAGAATGGTTATGTGGTTAGAAAAATGTTATTTGGTTATATTTTAAACCTCCCTCTATATACCACATAAATTCCTATCTTCATTTATTTTTTCTGGCATCATAAAAACTATTACCATGATTATGTATACCATATAAATTCCTATCTTCATTTATTTTTCATGCATCATATATTTTTATGTGTGTCCATTGCAAACCTAATATATGTTGTGTGATCCGTGTGAGACTAAATGATTTCTATACATTTGTAAAGTCAAAAGTGAATGTGAATGAATTGTTCAAAATTCAAATCATTCTTACACAACATCCATACAATGTTTAAAAGAGTATTCAAAATGTCATCAAGCAAAACTACGTAACTCATAAACCAATATACAATCTTAAACATTTGTTATCTTAAAACATTATTGCCCCCGAAAGCATGACGTATACATTCGCAATCTATTAGCGCCAAATTAGAATAAATGTTGCCATATTACAACTATGGGCGACACTACATTATGTTTCCCATCAGTCCAAATTAATTTACCTAACTCTGTCTCCATAATCCCCCATGAGCCAGTTACCTTATGATCAGACACAATCTTAACTGTGTAACTTTGTTTTTCCCCTTTTACAGTAAATTGCATTTTCTGTGGCACTACTGTTACATTGACTCCTTTTGGGCTAGTAACAATAGCATTGTAATTTGATGTACCTTCCCCGACATGTGTTACAGTTCTTGTGACTACTACCTCTGGTTCTGATGAACCTCTTGGTTCACCATACGCGATTGATATTGCTGGGTAATTGATGTTCCATGGTTTGTTTTGCTTTCCCCTACACCTGACTGGCTTTGGAGAAAACTGTCTAAAAGCTTGGGTTGAGTAGTTCATTGCACACAAGAACTGAATATAATCATTCGCTGTTATGTCATATACCAATCCTGGATCAACCGCTTTTCCAGGGTCTATGTGACCTGAACCAGTGCCCCACACAGTGGATTCGTTGTATGATTGTTCATCTAGCAATGGCTTCCCTTCTCCGTCAACCATGTACGCCGTGGTCATGATTGCAGATCTAATCATGGCAGGAGACCAATCTGGATGGGCCCCTTTCAGTAGAGCAGCCAAACCTGACACGTGAGGACACGACATGGAAGTGCCCGATGCTATATTAAATCTTGTTCTTCGAAGGTCAGAAGGAATTTCGCTAGGTGGCACATCATTTGGCCATGCTGCTAGGATGTCTACACCTGGTGCTATTACATCAGGCTTGAGTACATAAACCGAGTCAATACTTGGTCCTCTTGATGAGAAGGATGCAACTACAGGTGCAGGTTTCACCCCTGTTCGAGTCCCGTGAATTATTATCTTCGCCATTGGATTTTTTGAAGAACTTATATAAGCATGGAGCTTTTTACCACCTGATTCGGTTATCAACATGCCTGGAATTGTGTAGGAATCTGATACTAGTCCTTCACCTTGAGGAGAAACGTTTGACACAATTACCCCTATGCCTCCAGCTTCCTTGACAACTTCACCTTTCTTGACACGAGCATTACCACCTCGGTCACAAATCACTATTTTCCCACGTACCAGTTCTGTGTCAAGTGATTCCGGCATGCAAGTGGCTGCTCTCGAATTGCTAAATCTCCCTTGTGAGGCATTCCTTCCATGGATTAATGGAAAGAATTTTGTTGCTAGGATTGTTGTGCCACTTGAAACAGATGCCCCTGTGATTACTGTGCCATCTTCCAAGATCAGATCTGCTGGAAACCTCCTGTCGATTGTACTTGCACCGACTGTTGTGATCCATGGAGCTGTGTTTGTCACCGACATAACATCAGGACCTCCATTACCTGCAGAGGCCGAAACGAGAACACCTCTTGTCATTGCCCCAAAAGCTCCTATAGCTATGGGATCAAGATGATATGGCCTACTTCTGGAGCCACCTACGGAGATGGAAATGATGTGGACACCGTCTTCAACAGCCTTATCTAATCCAGCGAGTATGTCTGATTCCCGACAATTCTCTCCCCAACATATTTTGTACGCAGCGACTCTGGCTTTGGGTGCCACTCCGACAGCTGCTCCTTCTGCATACCCGAACAGTGATGCATTAGCAACCACCCTTCCAGCTGCAGTGGATGCTGTGTGGGTGCCATGGCCATCGGTGTCTCTTGAAGATCTAATCTGAGCTGAGCCGTTGGTTTCTTGGATGCTTGCCTCAAATCCAGCAGTAAAATATCTTGCTCCTATTAATTTCTTGTTACAGAGATTTTTTTTGAACTGCTCACCTTCCATGCACTCTCCTTTCCAATCCGAAGGGATTGGACCAAGATCTTGATCATGGAAGCTTGATGCTTCAGGTGAGATACCAGTGTCCAAGATGCCAATAATGGCATTAGAACCATAATCTGACTCCTTCAAGAGGCCATTAGGTTCATTACCATCAAGCCCCAGAAACTGAATTGATCGAGTAGTATGAAGCTGAAGAGTTTGGTCTGGTAAAACAGCCATGACGCTTGGGTGGGCTTCCAGTTCTTGAGCTTCTTGAGGAGTCAGTCTAGCCGAAAAACCATGGAAAACAGTCTTGTAAACATGAAGGAAGTCTTGGTTTGGCATTTTGTCACCTTGGAAACTGTTGAATTTCTTATAATCCAACTTTCTTGAATTCAAACTTCCAAGGGTTGCCTTATACCAATGCTCTACATCCGCGAAAACAGATGGTTTCAAGTCGTTTTGAATCCTGACTATGAAGCTTTGGGTATCATCAAGCTGCACAGAATTTGCAATGAAAAAACAGACGATCGAGTAAACCAAAAACCAAAACCGACCCATTTAGGTAAAAGAAGATGATCGATTATCGAAGCTACGCGTGTTGGTTTATAATGCAAGTGAGATTGTGAAAAGCATGAGCTGGATTAAGAAACCCACAGAAAATACGACGGTGAGCATGATTAGGATAAAAAAAATTGGATGCGTGAATGCAATGTTGTGTGTTGGTGTCTATTTTAAGCATTATAACGTAAGATACATCTCACCCTTATCTTGTCGCATAGTTATAAATGGTGTAAACATTTCCAATGCTTTTGTCAGAACTGACAGAAAGTGTCCAGAATTTACCGCAAAAATGACGAAAGATAAGTGATGATGCATGGAATTTTTGTGCCCTGTTCATACAAATGTTCGGGCCATAGTTAGTTTGGGCTTTTGCATTTTTTTAGGCTGTTGGTCTGTTGCACTTTTATATATAAAGCCTTTGTCGTAGAAAGGCCATAATTAATGGAAGGCCAGTTTTAGACTTAAATAATATAAACCAATCAAATAGTAAAAAATTCGAAAAGCACCCCTTATAATCTCGATTTTGAAACTTTGGGTGTAAATATCAAATATAAGGTGTGAGAATATATTCATCTTATATTTTTCTCATATATTTTTATGTAATTCATGCTATTATATTAAAAATATAAACAAACATATCAAAAATAATTATAATATTAAATTTTATTTATTATTTATTATACGAATACTAATAATTAGCTTAAATTTTTTTCTGGTCAAATAAAATAGAGATGATATAATAATAAATTATTATTAAAGCTTAGGATAATATGAAGGAATTGTGAACACCATGGAAGTACCGTGGAAAATGGGGTTGAAATTTAACGTGTCCAAGTCCATTATCTAAAGAAGGGATTCTGCCTTGTAAGACGTAAAGGATAAGTATAATATGATTATTGACCCAAACAATTCTGGTTGCGTGTGTCGTATTCGTAAAAGTTGCTTATTTTTATATATATATTATATATATATATTATATATATATATATTATATAGATATATATATATATATATATATATATATATATATATATATATATGATTATTGACCCAAACAATTCTGCTGCGTGTGTCGTATTCGTAAAAGTTGCTTATTTTATATATAGAGAGATAATATAATAATATATATAGATATATATAGATATATATATATATATATGATATTAGTGAGATTCAATAGAGAACCATAATTAACCAAGGAACCAATCTTTTTTTCAACTTTAGAACTTATTTTTTATCAAAAAAAAAAACTAAAAATACAGAATTTCATAACTTTTTATCCTTTTCCAATGATATCAAATTCGATTTTTTTTTACGTCAAATTCACAATGTGAATCTTTGAAAATCACATGTGAATCTTTGAAATTCACAATGTGAATCCGGATTCACACGGTGAATCCGAAAAATATTTTTCACATTCACATGTTAATATATGAATTAGATTTTTTTTCGATAAAGAATAAGTTCTAAAATTGAAAAAAAGATTTGGTTCCTTGAAAAACAATAATTATGGTTCGCTATTAACTTTTTCCATAGATATATAGATATATATATATATATATCTATCTATAGATTATTATAGATATATCTATATATATATATAGGTTTGGTTTCGAGGGAAACAAAAATCCTAAAAAAAAACCCTAAACATAAAAAAAAAATGCCTAAAAAATAGTTAGAGATCACAAACTTTTTTTTGAACTTTTTTTATAAAAAATCGCAGCTTTTTATTAAAATTCGCTGAAAAAAAAGTAAAAAATCAATTTTTTTTTATAAAAAAAAAAAAATTCAAAATTTTTTTCAGTGAATTTCTTTAAAAACCTGCGATTTTTTCATAAAAAATGTCAAAAAAAAGTTTTGTGATCTGTAGGTACTTTTTTTATGCATTTGTTTTATTTTTAGGGTTTTTTGTTTTCCAAATAACTCTTCCCTATATATATATATATATATATATATATATATATATTATATATATAGGTGAGATCGGTTGAGAACTCATAGTTTCCCGAGAACCCGAAAACTAAAAATGGAGCGTTGGATCAAAAGTAATTCATTAAGGACATGATCGTCATCTTACCAATCTCATTTAATATTTATTTTTTTTTTGTTATTGGAAAGATTAATTAAAGTTCTAAAAATTAACATAATAAATCAAATTTCAGAAAACATGATTTTTTTTTTAAAATTGATTTTTTTTTTTTAAAAACTGCAATTTTTTCAAAAAAGCTGTAATTTTATTTTACAAAACTGCATTTTTTTCCAAAAAAAAACTGCAAGTTTTTAAAAAAAAAAAACTACAAATTTTCGAAAAAAAACTGCATTTTTTCCAAAAAAACAAATCTGCAATTTTTTCAAAACAACTACATTTTTTTCAAACAAAAAACTGCAATTTTGTTTTTACAAAAACTGAGTTTTTTTTAAGAAAAAACTGCATTCTTTTTAAAAAATAAATTTTTTAAAATCAGTATATTTAAAAAAACTAGAACATTTAAAAAACAAACTCTAATTTTTTTAACAAAAAGATCAACGTTCTAGGTGTATATATGCATATTTTTTCAAATGCATATATGAATATTTCTTATACTATAATATTCGTAAGTAAATCATAAAAAGTCTCATTTTTATTAATAAATCTATAAACATAATAGTACAAGGATTTTATTCGATACAAAATAAAGTATAAAAAAAAACTACAACGATTCACAATGTTATCATTTCTTCATATCAAGATTTCCATATTTTCTTCAATTTATCACTTTTCACCTCTTCAATATTTTCCACAAATTCTTCAAAATCTACAAGAAAATTAAAAAAAAATGATTAATGCAAGAACACTCACAAAAATGCACATGTATATATCATGTAAGATTCACATGAGATTATAGCATGTAAGATTCACATGTGATTATATAATGTGATATTCACATGTGATTGTATCTTTTAAGATTCAAATGTGAAATTCACAAGAAAATTTTAAAAAGTAATTAACGAAGAACACTCACACAAAATGCATGTGTGCATATAGACATAATTCATATGTGATTCACTTGTGAATTATATGTAATTCATATGTAATTTACATGTGATTCATATGTGAATTACATGTGAATCACATGTAATTCATATGTGTTTTACATGTGAATCACATGTGATTTACATGTGAATCACATGTAATTAATATGTGAATTACATGTGAACCACATGTAAGTCATGTGTTTCACTCGTGATTTACATGTGAATCACATGTAATTCATATGTGAATTACATGTGAATCACATGTAATTTATATGTGTTTCACTCGTGATTTACATGTGAATCACATGTGATTCATATGTGAATTACATGTGAATCACATGTAATTCATATGTGAATTACATGTGAATCACATGTAATTTATGTGTTTCACTCGTGATTTACATGTGAATCACATGTGATTCATATGTGAATTACATGTATTTTACATGTGAATCACATGTAATTCCTATGTGATTCACGTGTGATTTACATAAAACTAAATTTGAGTGCTTTTAAGGATGATCAAATAAGTAACTTATTGTGCTCACAGGGAAAGGGGATGGCAGTTTCAACAAAGCACTCAAACACATAACTCTGGTAGTAAGATCATATGTGTGGTATTTAATTGCACGTTCAACAACATCATTTTCAGTTACCTGTTCATAAAAACTCAAAAATTATCAAATATATCATATGCACAATATGTCAATTGTCATAAGAAAGACAGAAAGAAAACTAACAGTTATAACAATCAAACACATCAACATCATTTTCAGTTACCTTTTCATAAAAACTCAAAAATTAACAAATATATCATATGCATAATATGTAAATTGTCATGAGATGACTTATTTCAATGAAAATTTTAGAAAATTAAATCAAGACATTGCCGCATTGCTGATGAAATCCACAAAACTAATGAATTCTAGGAATTAAAAGTTAGAGAAATGTCCAGTACCTAGAAATCTAACATTGAGAAAAATTGTTGGCAGTAATTTCGCGAAAAAGTTTGTTTGTCCCTACCGAACAGGTAAGCAATGAACAGTGCAACAATTAAGGATTATTTTAATTTACAACTGCAAAAAGTCACAATTCATATAATCGATCATAGTAACATATTTGTAAATCAATAAATCAACATTAACATCAAACTAAACCGCTCTTTATACTCTGATGAATACGATATCCTTATTCAATCAACAACTAACTAATGACCCCTTAGTCTCATTTAAATGGTTTATTATATATAGAAAAGAAACAGATCTTGATCTTACTAATGCAACAGTTTATCCAGGAGACATGATTACCCATAGGGCTACTTTCTATAATTAAAACTTTACCATATAAAAAACAGAAAGAAAACAAGAAACAACAGCGCCTTGTTTAGTTGTACAGTATAAGTAGGACATGCAAATGGAAAGTAATGTATCAGAATGAAAAAAGTGCAAATGTACTTGTGGGCATTTAGTTCTACAATAAGATACACAAGTAACTTATAAACTGGTAATGGTAAAGAAGGTATATATAATAAGATAAAGGTTGGACCATAAAAGTACAAAAACAACAAATATCATCCAATCAAAAGCAAGGCCACTGATTGTGTTTTACTCCAACTCTCTTTCAGATCCAGACCTCCAAATATCCATAACCCGACCTAATTTCAGAATTGTTCAATAAGAACACAAAACAGTTGGAAAATATAGATCCTCTTCAAGTTCACAGAAGTCAGAAATAGATCTCTTCCTTACTCTCATATATCCTAGTTGAAAAGCATTTTGTCTGCCTAGGCGATATGATGTAGGAAAAGCCTAGAAGCACTCATTGTATATGATTTAAAGTTAGATTCATAGAAACCATTACTAATGAACAGAATACAAAACGTGCATGTAGAGATGAAAGATTTAAGATACATACTGAAATATGTAATAAAATTTTAGGTTAATCAAGTAGGATAGAGGACTGGTGCAGTTGTATTATATATG